TTTTTCTCAAGTGGGCGGCGAGCAAAAACCCATAATGTGTGTGTATGTATATGAAAAGGGCAGGGGGATTGGACGAGCACAAAACAAAAAGAAGAAAAAAGTTTTTTTTTGTTTCCTTTGCGTGTTCGCGTTGCGTCGGCGTCGCGGCGTCTGCAGAAAGTGAGGAGGTTGTAGTGGTGGCCAGGGAGTACATTTTTTTTTTTGTATTTCTTTGGCGCACTATTTTGTTCGTTATATTTTCACGGTCGTGCCGGCAAAGCTACCGGCTTTTTTTTTGGCGCCGACCATGTTTTTGTTTTTTGGAGATTTTATTTATGATGTTTATTATGCTCTTTGTTTTCTGTAGCTGGCTGAATATTTTTTTTTCTGTCGTACATCCGCGAAAAATATATAAACAGAAGTTTTCTTCTTTTTTTTTTCTTTTTTTTTTCTTTCTTATGCGCTTTAGGGCTAGGTTGACTATGGGCGTTAAATGACTGACCGTTAACAATCTTGTTTTCAGAGTGAGGCAATGGCAACGAACGTTGACATGAAGGGAATCAGGCGGGGGTTCCGCTCGGATTGCTCGTGTAAAGAGCTTTACCGGGACCCTCTGCACGGTGGAACGCACCACCCTGAGTGGTGGGCCTACTGCGGCCACCCGCACACGGTTCACAACGAACTCGGTAATTATGAACTTTTTGTATTGTGGTATGTAGGTAGGCTCTATTTACGTTTTGTTGGCATGTGCACTGCTTCTGAAAAAAACAAAAAAAAAAAAAAACAATGAATGGCTTGCGTTGAAATGTCTACAGAAATGTAATTTTTTATTTTATGTTGCTTTCTAAAACATGCCCTAGATCTCTTTTGCAGCTTCGAGCCGCAAATGCAATCCATGCTTTCCAAAGCACATGGGGCTTCTAAAGTTCATCTACTACTAAATGCGTTTTCGTTTTGTCTTGGTCATACAGAAACAATTGATTCTCGTAAATTAATTAAAACAGCAGTCTATTCTCGTACCAAACATTAATAGTAGCAGAAGTTACGTCATAAGCTAATGTCACTCGCTATTTTATCGTATACATATTGGATTCCGAATCTTTGAACTGTTTGCAATTTATTTTCGCATTTGTTTCCTAGCGCCTGCTTGATAACAGGTGAAAGCGCTTCATTACCTTCATTCTAATTCCCACTCTCTGTATCTAAAGGAAAACAATATGGTCTTTCATTCAGCTAAAGGTGGATGCACAGCTTCGGTTCCATAACACGATCGTCACCATGCTGGGAAACCTGGAGGAGGTAAAAGGGGCCTTCTGCGGAGACAACCCAACAACATTCTTGAACATTAAGACCATCCTCCGGTCTCGATTGGCCAGAAGTTCTCTCATCATTTATATGGTATGTGAAAAAGCGAATGCAAAAATAGAAATGTAAGTTTGACGCTGACGCAATTTTTTTTTAACAATTGCTTCTTGCAGGACGATTTTACCCCTGACGAAAAAGTTCCAGGACCCAAGACTTTCTTTGGTTCGGAGAAGGGGTTGTTTCTGGGAACTGGTCAGTGAAACTCACCGCTAGCACGACTATGGAGGGGGCACTAGTCATGTGCTTATGGGTGTATTACATAACGGGACTCTCCTACCCTGTGGCATGTGGACAAACCCTTGGACTCCTCTAGGGTCTGCTTGTTGAAAATAAAGTCTTTCAATTCAGTTTATGTCGGAGAAGCTCAGAAAATTGCTTATGGCTGTTGAGAAACAACAGAAATTCTGAGCTTCTGCTGATGGCAAGAGATGCCGAATAATTCGTTTTAATGCTATGAAGTAGGTAACTACACACTAAAAAAAAGCACAGGCATCTACTTTCCCGAGCAGCACTTGGAAAGTCAATCACCGTAACTCACGGAAGCAGCTCAGCGAATCACGATGCCGAAACATAAGATTAGACAAAAAAAGCCAGTCCGAGTTGTGACATTAACCAATGCAAAACATCACGCTTGCTGTGCTTAGTGTCGCAACTCATTTTTTTTTTTTTTGGTATAATCATGTTTCGGCATCTACATTCGCTGAGCTGCCTCCGAGAGTTATGGTGATCGTCTTGCCAAGTGTTGTGCGGAAAAGTAGACGCACGGGCTTTTTTTAGGATGTACATATCTTTTTGTGTTATCCGCTAAAAAAAAGTTTTTTTTCCCGCACGATTGTATTGTTATCGTTTGTGATATCCAAAATGAGTCACTTTGCAGCACGATATTTTTTGTGTGATAGTTTCCAAGAAACGCCGATTTCTGGCGTCGTTCTAAGTCTTTTTTATTCGTAAAAGCTACCAGAACATCGTTATAAAATTACTATTTTGATAAAGACATCAAAATATTTTCTTGTGTCATGGCAAATAAAACACGTGTTTACCCTTAAAGATTGTTACTGTTTTATTTAACACATTGATTGCGTTTATCAAACATAATATACAGATCAAATTTCAATTCTGCTACGCAGCACAGAATAACTTTGGTTAAACAATATCAGCGAAAGTGCGAGAAGTGCAGTGCAGCATGTCACCTGACAGTCAAAACACGAAGGAGCAGAAATTGTACGATACAATAACAGAGGTAACTTAAAGCCGGGGTCACGCTGCTTATACATTATACAAAATACGTTCTGCAGACATGTTCCAGTTCGAGTCACCGCGACATCCGTGCTTTGTATGTTACGTGACAAAGTAACCTCTTGATTTGGTTGCCTCGTGGCGTACGAAGCACGGATGTCGAGGCGACTCGTTTCGGAACATGTCTGCAGAATGTATTTTGTACGATGTATAAGCACCGTGACCCCGACTTAAGGGGGACTATACCCTTGCATTTTAAGCGGGCCACCGTCCCTCCAAATTTAAGGGGGAAAATATCTCAAAAATGTCCCTCTTACTAAGTGGGACTGACCTCGAATTTAAGGGAGACGCCTTATCGCTTACCTTAAGAGGGGTGGTGTCTCACTTAATTAAGAGGGAGCATCCCCATGTAATATTAAGAGGTCTGTCGCCCCCCTTAAAGTTAAGTGGGAAAAAATCGAAGAAATGTCCCTCTTACTAAGTGGGACCGGACTTAGAGTGTATGCACTATTTATGTGGATTCATACATAGGGTTCCATTTTCTCTCATGAAGCAGGTATATTGGTTTGCTCAGTCTATAAGAGAAACAGTATGACAGCAGTATAAGGTAAAAAGCTCAAGCGCATGAGGTAAATTACTCCTCTTTCCGTGGTGGTGTTGTGTGCATTGTACTCAAAATTATGAACCATTTGTTCGCTGTCCGGCACTGCTCGTGTGGCAGTGTAGCAAAAAAGTGTTAAAAAAGGTCATATCAAAATAAGCTTAGAAAATGTTGAAAATAGAGGAGCTATCACTTATAGTGCTGTTTAAAGTTGGTTGCTGTAATTTGTGCATACATGTAAAAAAAATAATTGTTTACATCATCTATGGTATGTTTCCCAAACAATATGGCTTTGACTGCTCTGTCAACAGCAGAACACAATGTTGGTCAACAAAATCACTTCTCTTATAACACACAATCAAGCACCCACAAATGCACCAACAAATGCATACGTTTGAGTAAGGTATTATGAGTGACAAACCATTGATTTATGTTAACCATTCAAGTAAAAGCAATACACAATTTTTATAAAGACTAAGGCAATTTGAACGTTAACCCTATTCTCATCTCCCTCTCTCTTCCAGGGTTACAGCAGTAACTATTAGGAACAGAACACAACCAAACTTGAAACAAACAACGATTGACCAAGAACAGATTTGCTGACTAGATTCATTCTCTCAAACAAGAAGCATGTTCCAAAGCAGTAGGTTAATTGAAGCCACTCTGAATTTATGGTCATTCTACACTACAAGAATTCGCAAAAATCTCTTGCTGTTTTTTACCTTTGCCGCAATATTTTAGATTATTGCTGGATTATTCCTGCTCAAAATTTTTTTCCAATGTTTCCAAAACTTAAAAAAAACTTGTTCTTTTTGTAGTTTTTTTTTGGCCTTCAAAATTTTCTATTCCTACTTGCAGCGACCTGCGGCGATGCCGATCCTTGAGAAGTCGTCAATTGCGGAAAGAGTGCTGGGGGCCACAAAGACAGAACCCAGTGGGAAATCAGGCGATACTTTCAGTGACGTCACTCGAAATGTGGTGAAGCGTTGAGATCTACTTTGACCCTCAATATGTTTCATAAAAAGAAAAAAAAACAGTGTGAAGAAAAAAATTGTTTCCATTCCTTGTAGTATTTTTGGTGAAAGAGACGAGTTACTGCAATAGACTACTTAGAAAAATCCCTGCATCCAACACAGTGCACACTGCATTATGGGACCTCTCTGGCCATGGAGAGGAGTGGCGTGGTTTCGATTTCGACTGCCTCATTGACGACGTAGTGCATTTCAGCAATGCATAAAAATAGACAATACTCAATAGCATTCTGTGCATCCAATTATCGATTCTCAAATGGAAATTAAAAGAAGAGCTGCGGGTACACCCTGCACTTGAATGGCCTTTCACCAGTGTGTTTGCTGGTGGTAAATCAGACTGCCATAGTGGGCCCTTTATAAGTGCAAGCTCTGAACACAACTTGCACTTATTAGATTTTTCACCATTGTGTGTACAATTATGCTTTCTCAGATGAAAATTCGTAGCAGAGGACTGGGGCTCCACTTGAATGGTCTTTCACCTGTGTTCGATTATGGCAAGTCAGACTGGACTTTTAAGTAAAGGCTTGGATACACAGCTTGCACTTAAAAAGCTTTCAACCTGTGTGCTTTAGATTACGAAATTTCAGACTGAAATTCTAAGAAAAGGCATAACTGCAGCATTTGCACTTGGGGGCTTTTCAGCAAATTATATTTGATTATGGCAGGTCGGACAACTTCTGAACAGAGGCTTTAGAACACAGCTTGCACTTGTTTCCACCTGTGATCATTCCATTCAATATACTTTTAGGTTGAAATTCTAAAAAAAGATTTAGAAATGCAGTGAGTATTTAAAAGGGTTTTTTACCACAGTGTGATTGATTATGGCGACTCAGACTGTTACTGCTAGTAAAGACTTGTGAGCACAGTTTGCACGAATAAGGCTTTTCACCTGTGTGCGTTCGATTATGACGTATCAGTGAGGACTTCCGAGCACAGGCATGGGAACATAGCTTGCACTTAAATGGCTTTTCACCAGTGTGCAATTTTTTGTGCCGGGTCAGATTAGCACAGCGAGCAAAGGCTTGGGAACACAGGTTACACTTATAAGGTTTTGCACCACTGTGTGTTCGATTATGGAGTTTCAGATAGGATTCCAGATTAAAGGCTTGGGGGAACATTCTGCATTTATAAGGTTTTTCATCACTGTGTGTTCGATTGTGATCTTTCAAATGGGAACTCCGAGCAAAGGCCTGGGGGCACAGCTTGCATTTATCAGGTTTTTCACCATTGTGTGTTAGAATGTGGTTTTTTAAAGTGGAACTCCAAGCAAAGGCTTGGGGGCAAAGCTCGTACTTGAATGGCTTTTCAACTGTGTGCATTCTATTGTGTTGGATTAAACTGTCATCACCAGCAAAGGCTTGGGGGCACAGCTTACACTTAGATAACCTATCGCCCCTGTGTATTTGAGTGTTAATGTGCACTCTGGACCTGGAGCTGGAAGACAGAGGATTTTGGCACTTGACTTGTTCATCACCATGGGCAACCAGGTGGCTCACAATTCCATGCTGATCTCCGGTGAAGTAACTGCAGGAACAGCATCTGAACCAGATGTCCTCAGTGGCTTTCAGAAGGCAGCTGGTCTCCCCCAACTGTGCTGCTACATCATCTAAAATTTAAAAAAAAAGGCTGTGTATTAGAAGACACAAGGAAAGCCCAACCATGAGAAACAAATGGTTTAGAAAAAAGAACCTGTCAATGCACTTAAAATTTAGCTATGTGGTTTAATATCTTGCTGTTCTTTATTTCAATTCATGGAAGCACTCAAATAAAATTCACTCCATTAATTGTTTTATTAGCATGAACAGTACCAATACCATTGAAGTGCATATTTTTTCCACTACATGCGGTGAAGTTGTCTTCGTGCGTGCCTTCGGCTGTGTGGCCACATGCATCATTTGAAATTTCAGTCACTGGTTTACGGTGTGAATGATGACGTCGCAAGGACGTGCAAAAACACTTCAGAAAACTGGAGACCACTTTTCACATTCCGATAGTGTGTGTAAACGAGCTGTGAATAGACTGTCGTTCCTATTCCTACAAGCATTCCTGGTCTGGCTACAACATTTTTTTTCCCTTTTTGGTCACACTCTAAAAGTGAGCATAACCACACAGTTGCACCACTTTCGATTTGAAGTGGGCTATGTCTCAGGACATTAGGGAAGCTGTATTTCTTGTTTTGATATGGAACTGTCATATGACTGAGACCCTACCTTGCTATCACACTTGATACCAAGATTATGAATGTAAACACTGTAAGGCAACCTTTCGTTCTTAAATTCCCTGCACCTGGCCTTGTGGGTGCAATAACTGTTATGATTGATTCCCAATGCTAAAACTTTAGTATCTGCAATTAAGTCACACATGTTCATGAAAGCTAAGTAGAAGCGGATTTCATGGCTGTAGCACATTTCGCTAAACCGCAGATAATGACCAAGTAAAAGAAGCTGATTATCTGGAAGAAGCGACACTGGAGAGTGTCAGGGCTTCAAGTTCAAACTTGAGCAAGCTTAAAGGGATACCAAACCAAAACCCAAAATAGTTACAAAACATTAATAAATAAGCTGACAAGAATCAACATATGTTAATGATAATCACCTGCGTGTATTTTGAATGGATGCATATAGTTTTTGATCTAAAGGCCAGATTTTGGCAAGTGCTTCAATTTGAAGTAGAACATAAGGCATCCTGAGATATTCGTCCGTCTCATGCCACATTGGCTTCCAACGTGCTTAAAAGTTTAGGCCATTTATAACGAAGTGTACAGCCATCAGGCTCAAAAAACAAACGTGCGATTGTCATTTATGGATATTGTGGATCATATTTAGCCTATTTCTGAACAGAACGGGTATATTTCAAATTTCGTTGAAGTACCCTTTAATGTAACAATCACCTTTCCACCTTTCCCCGAAGTGGCCTTAAAGGGGCACTCAAGCGGTTTTTGGAGAAGCTACTTTTTGGTGCGATGTTGTTAAAGAAGTGTCAGTAAATGAGTATCTTCAATTTTAGAAGGCAGAACGCCTAACAATCACGCAGGAATAAAATTTGTGCGGACTCTTTTCTGTACTTGCGAGGATGAAATTATCGTATGTTTGCAAATTTTGGCGGTCTTTGTAAAGTTTCGCTGAAGAAACAATTTTCAGTTCATTTAAATATGTTGTGCATGATAATTTCACAAGACGTAAAATATTTCTAGTTTAGAATACGCGATACTGCAATTATCGTTTCACAAACAAGGAACTACGTTTTCTCCTTGCCTTCCTCCGCTGGGGGTGAATTTCCCGTTCCCCAGGGATGCGCGGAAGTGCACGTATCTACGCGCGTTGCAGGCCGGTCGTGCCGGTTGCGGGCCGGCCGGCTCCTATCCGGAAACGTGGCGTCGGTGGTGATCGCCGGCGTGGTGAAAGCTCATCGTTCCGCGTAAAAGCGCTATACTTGACTGTGAATTTTCGTTGTGTGTCGCTATGATAACCCAGCATGTACTAGAAGGGAAGATGCACCTACGCGTGCTGTGATGTCGTGGCGGCACTCTCAAGACAGCAGAACGCCCGTGCCGTCGTGTTTGTTTACTTCGACTACAGTGATGCTTTCTAAGCATTTGTGTCCTCGAACATCGCCCGGATTTCTTATTTGGCGCATTTCATGTGTGTGCTCAAGTTCAAGGTATTACTGGCGCGTACTGTATAAAGGATGCAAATTTTCACGCATTTTTATCACCGGAGAAAAGTGATTAGTAAGCAATCCTGAACGCTCGCAAAGTCTATCTGATCACGAAATCATATTTCTACGTTGCTATATCGCTGCTAAGATTACATTGTCGTTTATAATCGTAGAAAAGGCGTGTGGCGATATTTGTACTATTGCAATGTCGTGTATTAGAGTCGTGATCGTCCAAGACGGCGGACTGCATCTTTTTATTTTCTTTTTTTTTTCATCCACTGCACCCTGCAAGCCTATCAAGAAAAAAATAATAATAAAGCTTTAGGCTATAGAAATCTGTCTGTCTATATTCTGTTACGGCATTGAGTAGCAGTGCGTCCCCTTTTAAGAGGGGCCGCTGAAACAGCTGACAGCGGCGTATAGAAGCGGTCGCCATGCTGACGACCCGCTGCGCTTGTTGTAGTGGTTGCAGGTGTGTGTATACGCACGGCGCAGAGCGGTTGTTCCGGTCGCTCTGGTTGCAACGGACGCAGTCGTAGGTATGCGCTCGTTGCACATGTCTGAATCAGCCTTCCCCCCTCCTCCCAAGGCGAAAGTCAACGTGGCGACATCGTTTGACATCACATACCAGAGGTAACGCTGCGATGTCAAATGTTGGTTTGGTTACGACTTGCCCCAACCGCAAATCGAAGAACGCCCGAAAAGGTTTGCGTTTCGTCGTCCTCGGAACCCGAACATGAGTCCGAAGCCCTGCTATCGTCCACATCACACGTCGGAGTGGCGTCATAGGAAATCATCCCCAGGTCGGCTGTCCGCCGAAGAATTTCAGCCTCTAACGGCGTCAGGTCCTCGAGCGTAGAGAACTCCGCCATGATCGAAGCTCGAATGACAAAGAGGTTCGGTCGATGCGGCTACCTCGGGATCACTGCGCGACGGAACGTCGTCTAACGCCATTAGCCCGAGATCCTTTTGATAAGCGTGCGAGGACCAATGAGAGTGGTTTCGTTTTCGGATTGATCCGAGGTTTTGCGGCCTTCAATTACATTTTTATTAAAGAAATAATCACCGTATGACTATACTTTTCGGTTTTTAGGGATACTTAGGGTGTCTAAATTCAGCTGTCATCATCAAAACACAAACTCAAAAACCACTTGAGTGCCCCTTTAAGCCCGGTACTAAACCCAAACATAAAATCTTGATTTGTTGTTCTTACAGCGCTATCGGGCCATAATTTGTCAATTGTATCTCATCATGATAACGGATTTTGCGGTCACAATCTCTTCTTCCTGATTGCTTGCAGACAGTCTTCTCCACTCGAAGATGTCCTCTTTCACAATTAGGAAAGAGGTGCGGTTTCATTTCAATTTCTCGAGGTATGAAATATCTTGGCAGATGATAGAGAGGCTCGAAGCACAACGCATAGTCTTCGATCTGGATGAGCATCCTATCGGCGTACGGTTCTGTCTCACTACTGCGTGATGCATGAAACGATTCCAGGCCAGCAGTGGTACAGCACCAGCTAAATTTCTTATCTGCAGCAATCCAGTGTCGCTGCACCTCAAAGAGAGATTGACTTTATGCTGCATAAAACCTAGTGTCCAATTTAAGTTTTGGTTTGGCGGCACGTCGACTTCTTTGAGGGCAGCGACAATTTCCTTCGGCGTTACGGTTTCACTTTTCCCTTCGACGAAAGAAGTTAGGCATGCAGGTTCTCACAGCCACCGGTATGGATACGTCCTAGTCAGCCATCCTTCCCAGTTTACCATGATCGCGGGTGCTTCTTCAATGGTAATTTCATTGCTTCATTGCCAAGGAAACAGAGCTAAAGCCAACGCCTGTCGCACTGGCAGTCATATTAATGACTTAATCTAAGTCTTTTTCTCAGTAGTGCCTGCACATCTAAAAATAACCATTTAAAATAGACTATCTCGTATGGCTATATAGTCTGGCTTGACAGGACAGTTCCGCTCACTTTATACTTGAAGTAGGCCCAAGGGAAACACGTTTTGTGTAAAACCGACAGCACGGCTCGAACAGTTGTAGCTTCAATTTAATAAGCTGACCTTTCATGGCTGACGGCTACAAAACAATCCTTTAATCTCGCGGTACACTGAAATAGGATTGTTTGTATAGATGCATTTCCAATTTATCTTCACTGATTTAATAAATTACACTGTGTTGCAAAAACGCCTACTTTCACGCTGGCAAACTTTTACGAAGACTATTTTGAAGAGCGGATGAACCTGTGACACGTCTGACCCTGAACTCTGTCTCTCGTTGGTGTGAATTATGGCTAATGAAACTAAACACTAGTAAATGTAAACAAATGAGAGTGTCCCGCAAGCCTAACAACAGTCCCTGTTACCACCTAGGTGGCAACCTTTTGGAGCAAGTGGCAACGTACAAGTACCTTGGTGTTCACTTAACAAATAACCTTTCATGGAAACCCCACATTCAATATGTTACTACCCGTGCTAACTGCATGTTGGGCTACTTAAAACGCAACTTTTCATTGGCACCTATTTCACTAAAATTGATCCTCTACAAAACATTAATCAGGCCTAAATTAGAATATGCAGCCTCCATCTGGGATCCCGGTCACGATACTCTAATCACTGCATTGGAATCCATTCAGAATAGGTCAGCCCGTTTCATTCTTTCCAACTACCATCGTACTGCTAGTGTCACATCAATGAAAAATAGTTTATGTTTACCACTTCTCTCCTTGCGACGTAAAATTTCACGCCTATGTTTATTTCATAAAATGTATTTTCATAACCCTCTCCTACGCAATCGGATGATTACTCCCCCCTTTTACATTTCATCCCGTCTTGACCATCAGCATAAAGTTGGAGTTCCAAGTTCGTTTACCACTACATTTCAATCTTCTTTTTTACCCCGCACAGCCGAGGAATGGAACCACCTCCCCGGTTTGATTGCTACTATAACTGATACTAACTTGTTTAGAAATTCCATCACTAGCTATTTTAGCAGTGACCCATGACCTATTATTATTATTATTCTTTGTTTGTTGTACATTTAATATTGTTGACTTGTTACTATATTACTATCTTTGTTTCATGTATGTGCTCTCCCCCTCTGTAATGCCTTCGGGCCCTGAGGGTACTTTCAATAAATAAATAAATAAATAAATAAGCATGCAGAAGGGTGGACACACCCACTGTTTTCGTGAGGAGACAGCGAGTAGAGCTTAATCAAAGTGACCTAGGACTGAACTACCACACGACCTTCTCGATCCTATCCTGCAAATCGCCCAATCACTGGCACCACGTTCGTGAAGAGCTTGTCCTGTGGGCTACCTGCAGTTTATTCTTTATTTACAGTAAAGCTTTTATTACCGTGAGGCATCATTGCAGGGGGTGGGTTCATATTTTTTTTTAGGAACACATGTAATACAAATGTGCAGTATATTTCTGTGAAAACTGTAATATATATGAATAACACCACTGAGCACCAAAGAACATCTTAAAAATTTGCCTAGAAGATATCGATCAGCAACCTATTCCACTCTACAGTGGTATTTGGGAAAAAGGAATAAGCACAAGTATCAGTGTGACAGGGGATAATGTAAATAGGATAATGTAAAAAATATCTCTATTGATTAATTCTGCCTAAAATCTTTCTGCATTCACTCAGTTTCTCCAAGTGTAGGACGTCCTTCATGTTAGTGACACTTTCCAAGTTCACATTTGTTTAATAATACAATCTAGAACATTGATTTTGTATTTTT